CACATGTATTCAACTTAAAGTTCGTGATTCCATTTCAATCATCATTATTATTAAATAATTACTTATTATTTTAATTATCAATTTTATAATCCATTTTCTTGTGCGGACGCAATGGAAGATATCAAGTTTAACAATATACTTCGATCTTCCTGCACGATGCACTTGTAATCTTTACAAACTTTTATCCTATTTGGGATTTTTTATTCATTTATTTTGAAAATTCCAAGCGGCAGATTTCACTGCCCCAGAAAAGCCAAGCCCGGCTTTGTGGCGAAGTGAATGCCACAAGCCATAAAAATATAACTCAAAACTCACTGCAGTGAGTGACAGAGAGCGCATTTTCTCGTCGACGAAAACCTGGTCACGGACGGACAGACGGATAGACAGACGGACGGACATGACGAGCACAATAGCGCATTTTTCCATAAATTAGAAAATGCACAAAATAATGCCTGACCGTCTCGGCCCCGAAATAAATTGTTGGCTTGAGACGCTCTCTACTACTAGCGAGAGGCTAATCTTCATCATATAAGGGCTAATAGTGCAAGCAATTTAGCCTTATATGATACTATATGAATTATTTAGTACTTATATCTTTATGCTCAAAGTTTGTAGCAGGTGAAAGCAGCATTGTTGTGATTCTTATTGAAGTTTCACTCACGGATAATTCGCTGAAGCTTTAAAACGAAATTTCCCAGGAATTCTGTTGAAAATTTAACGTGTGTGGAAAGATTCCATATATAATTTGTAGGCTGCGTAAAGAAGATTAAATTCAAAGATCAAAAAAGAAGATCATTCTTTCAAAAAGATTTGATCATTCATGCAGATAGCCTGCAGATAAATGATAATAATTTGGATTGTGAAACCAAAATCAAACGGATTTAAATGGTGTGGAAAAGGCATTATGGCAGTTTCACCTAATTGCAATTCCTTCAACGTAAAATGATGAAAATTACAAAACGTGCGAGAGAATATAAAACGTGACAGAAATTTTACATTTTACCAATACGCAACATACATAATGGTGATATATACTAATGGTGATGCATGGTGGAAATATTAATTTTACCAGTTAAATATATAGCCCATACGTACATTTCTGGTCCTGAGTCAATATTTTCAAAAAAGTTAGGAAATCGTAAGTTCATCAGCCAATCATTGACGGACTTTCAAGCAAAATCCACCAATCATAGACAAGAAAATAGAGCGTAAGTACTTACGTTCACTTAGCGAGTTTTGAAAGTATGGCCATTGGACCCAATATCCATAGTTGAAAAAAAATTAAAATACACAAGTTCATAATTGCTGGGTTATTCAATTTTCACTCAATGTGGCAAAAAATGTTCTTAATGAAGATTCCAACAATTCTTTTGAATGAAAAATGTCTGCAAAAACAGAAATGTGGTAACGCTGTAATAAAGGCCGGCAAAACCGGAAAAATATTTTACATGCATGCAGAAGTTAAATGGCTTTACTTTAATCAACTAAGAATAAAGTTTTGTTCGAGAGTATATAATGTTCCATGGCCCGAACAATCGAAAGTTGATTAGTATACGAATTGGTGGATTTCTCGTTTGCGATTGTCAAGTTTATCTAGAAAAGTCGTCAGTGATTGGCTGACATAGTTACGAACTTGTATATCTTCTTCATAGTACGTTACGTGGGGCCGTACTTTCAAAACTCGCTAAGTAAACGTAAATACTTACGCTCTATTATCTTGTCTATGATTGGTGGATTTTGCTTGAAAGGCCGTCAATGATTGGCTCATGAACTTACGATCTCGCACATTTTTTCATAGTACGTTACCTGTTTTCTTGCCCGGTACGAGGAAGCCGCGGCTTTCCATCGTGATGAAGGATTCTTCAACAGAGATCCTTGGGTCGCCAGATGGTAGCCTGGATACCAAGCAGCTTCTGACGTCGTCATGGAGAGGATGAGGTCAGGAGGAGCCATGGAGAAAATAACAACTTACCAGGCAGATAACGATGGAATAACGTTTAATTGAACGAAATAACGTTTAATTGATGTTTCTTGAACGAAAAACCGTTTAATTAATGTTGTTTGAACGAAACAACATTTAATTAATGTTTTTTGAACGAAACAATGTTTAATTAATGTTGTTTAAACGAAACAACGTTTAATTGATGTTGAGTGAACGAAAAACCGTTTAATTAATGTTGTATGAACGAAACTACGTTTAATAAATTAATGTAGCTCGATGAAAATAAGGTCCAATTAATGTTGCTCGATCAAAACTACGTTTAATTAATTATTAATGTTGCTCGATCAAAACTACGTTTATTTAATGTTGCTCGATCAAAAAAAAAACGTTTAATTATTGTTGATTGAACGAAATTACGTTAAATTCGACATAAAATGTTTGGTGGGAACCGTTTCATGGACGGCCGACCGGTACGAAGCTTGTCTTGATTCACCTTTGATAGTTAATAGTCAATTCACACGTTCCTAAAATTGCCATATGGGCAAAAAACTGTTTTTTTTTATTAACTTCCGATTCAAGCAAACTAATGAAATGAAAACTTGCAGCATATATATTAGCTGGAATTATAGATGGGCAATCTAATGCCTGGTTCTATTCCTACTTAGCAAGTTTTATTAAGCGGTCAACCAAAAATCATGAACAAATCTTCGGTAAAATTTGCTTTTGTGAACGATGTTTGGTCAGAAATGTTACTTTCGTATGAACGTAAAGCGTTCTGTTCAGTTCAGTCAAAAAAATCAGAAAATAAAGCAAATTGGCAATTAATCTTGCTAAATTATATCGATTTCAGGTTCACTCTTTTTAAAGTAAAGTAAATTTTAAGCCTCTTGCAGCAATCGTCTCTCTGTTAGAATTATTCTTGACTTACTTTGCAACCATTTCTTTCCCGCTCGTAATGGATTCATTCGCATCTTATTAGCATGTCGTTCTGGTCGTTTTGTGCCACAGGTGATCCATTGCCGAAGTTAGAAGCAATGTCATCTGCAAAGTCGAGGTCCTTTATCATGTTAGTGGAGTTCCATTGGATTCCTGTTATTTTTTACCCTGCACAGTCCTCCGCATTACCCTGTCCATCACCAGAACGAACTAAACTCCCAACGTGCAGCATCCCTGCTTCCCTTCTGTCGTCAATGGAAACCAATCTGTTGCCTCGTTCTCATCGATCACGGAGCACTGAAAGTAGGCATTTGAGCTTCTAGCTGTCACGATTTAATAACCTCTATAACATAATTGCCATGCCAGCATCTATAATTACCACGATTGTATGATCCCATTATTACAGTAAACTTGCCAGTATCTAACTGACGTGATGTTGACATATTTACCATGTGATATGTCAACATATTACATGGTAAATATCACATGCAGTTAACATGCAGCTAATTGCCATGCCAGCATCTAATTACCACAATTGTATGATCGCTTTATTATAATAGACCTACCAGCATCTAATTGACATGATGATGACACATTTACTATGTGATCAAAACGTAGGAGTCAATTGGTGAACTCCACTTTCACCATAGTTCAAAAGGTCCTATAAAGTTCCTACTGCATCAAGTTTCTCATCAAAGGATTCAAGTGTGTGCACGACGCCAATTAAAGCTTTTCGACACAACAACCCATCCCTGTTGAGCTATCCTGCATGGAAAGCGCCATTGAAATGTCAAAGCGAGCCGCGCAGAGCGCACGATGAGTGAAGGAATGAGGTCGATAAAGATAAGAGAGACCGAAATAACTTTTTTTATTCAGTTATTCCCATGATTATGCCGTTTCTTTATTTTCGGCATCACGAGCAAATAGAATCCAAGGCATTTAAATTGTCTTTAGAACCTTAATTGTGTTGAATTAAGACCTCTGATAGTGATAATGTAACTGTACAGTACGATGATAATTATGAATCATAAATTAGTTTAACTCTTTACAATAGGTTAGCAATTTCATTCACGTTAAGTCGTTTTATATCTAACATCTAACATAATCATTCAAATTACATATTCAAAAAGACGTTACTAAAAATTTATATTTTCTGCATTTATTTCACGGATTCAGCAAATAATGCCATTATTCTATCATGTTCCTTGCATTAAATGAAAGTAATTCATGCTAAGTCATTTTATAACTAACAACTAACATAATCACTCAAATTACAAATTAAAAATGACGTTACTAAAAAGTTTATAATTTCTGCCATAATTTCACGGATTCAGCAAATAATGTAATTTTTCCATCATGTTCCTTACATCAAATGCAAGTAAAGTAATCAATGCACTGTACTTCCGTTACCACAGCCCCCGCTCTCGCAGGCTTGGCATTCGTGTCATCTGCACCGCTCCTTCTGACGAGGCAAATTTTTCCTTGCTTCAGCATAACCTTCTTTTTCAATTAACATTTCAGAGTGGTGAGAACCGTAATTGTGGTGAGAAGCTGCACAAATTTTGGGGCATAAAAACGGGATGTATTTTTCCGGGAAAGGATGAATTGCTCAGGTTTAATTTATAAATTTATGTGGTTAATTCGGAGGAGACACACCTAATTTTCACAAGGTAAAAAATGCTTTAGTAGAGAGGTTTTCTTAGGCAATGTTGCATGTTTAATTTGAATTTTAAAAATTGGAAGCCACTGCTTATGACTTAGCAGTTCAGTGATCAGCAGCTTAAACAAATATAATTTATATTCATAACATGATATTTTTCTACTGCTTTCTCTTTGCCAATTTGATCTGTACGCATATTGCACACTCTCTATTCTTTAATTAAAACAGTGTATTGTTCTCGGCAAGAACTTATTCAAATGAATGTAACGGGACATCGCACTGCACCGGGCATATCAAATCAAACGCTCACCATGCTGGTCTTGGGTGTGGAGTTAGTTACGCTTTCCTATTCAATTTTGTACGTAAATTATATGCTAACTGAATGCTAGCTCGTTATTAGGTTTGCTGTGCAACAGAATAGCAGCTCGTTGGCGTGAAGTGTAATTTCCCNTTCAGCAGGCCTACCGGGACAGACAGCGAACGCATGTGGGGACACTAGTGCCGGGGGGGCGGTGGGGGACTGCATGGCCCCCCTGCAGTGCCTGGCTAGCGGGGGGCAGGTCTCCCTCACCTACACCTGCTCCTCCTCCCTGCTGACCTGCTGCAGATGTCAGCAACTACCTACAAATAATTATATAAAAATCACTTTATTCATTACAACTAGAATATACTATACATTATCTAGTTATTTGTATATTTTTGTTTTTCATTGTTCGTTGTTGTATTATTATTTATTACATTTAAAAGTTAGTGGATTTGTATAAACATTAGAATATGAAGGCAGAATTCTTTTTTATGCAAGTTCGATTTCATATATCGGTTATACTGTATCTTATTTATAAACATTAAATGGTAAACCTTGAAAAAGTAGGTGCTCATTGTGGTGGCTCGAATGCCACTAACAGTAAAAATAACGACGAAGAATGTACATGTAATACCTGGTAAATGTTGGTTCGAATACAACTAACAGTAAAAATAGTGATGAAAAATGTTCATGTAATACCTGGTATGTTGCATGGTGGTTCGAATGCTACTAACAGTAAAGTTATTGACGACGAGTATACATGTAACACCTGGTAATGTTGTTTAGAATACTAATAACAGTAAAAATAATGACGACGAGTATACATGTAATACCTGGTAATGTTGGTTCGAATGCCACTAACAGTAAAGTTAATGACGAAGAGTACATATAATACCTGGTATAATATACCTGCAGTCACGGGCGGTTGCAACAGCTCCAGCAAGGGACGAGTGAGCGAGTGGCGCAACCCAAGCTACCCTCAGACGGACGATAACCTTCCGGGCCTTCATCCTCTGACACCTGCTACCTCAGGTGACACTGCACCTACACCATCACACCATCCTCTGACACATGCTACCTCAGGTGACACTGCACCTACACCTGCTACACATCAGTGGTCCTAGGATCAGAAAATGTAAACATATCCTACATGTGTTATCGTATCACCCTCGTGTATCCCTGGACATTTAAACAAACATAGTTTCCACGTTTTTAATATCATCAATAAAAAATAATGCCGTACAGAAAAATTAATAACCAAAAAGATATTCACTTTTCTATAACAGCTCGCTACTCATATTGTTAAAATGAAAATCAAAGCAATCATAAATTTAAAAATATTATTAAATTTATATTTTAGCGTAAGATTCATATATGCTTAACACTTGTATATCTGTACTTGTATCTTAACACTTGATGTGTATATCAAGATTTTTTCAAATCTTTCTATTATATACATTTTACTTACACTTCTCTAGTCGATTTCAGATTTCTTAATAAAAATTTATCCCAAAATCCAAATTGGAAGAAACTTGAACCAAATTCCCTTAAATTTCAATATAAACAATTCTTGAAAGCTGATCAATAAACTGTTTTAATACGAAGTACGGCGAAAGTTGTGTATTTTCTTAGCTAATATCGAATAAGCATTGAACGGCTATAGCCTTATCTCTTGCCTACTATATTAAATAATTTCTCTACGTCATTCAACTAAAATCTCCACCTCGTTTAAATGAATAAAACCAACATCGTCTAAACGTAAACTTTATGCATCATTTGAATAAAAATTCTACATCATATCAATAAACATTTAAATAAACATCATCATATCAATGAACATCACTTAAATTAAGAATGCGTTATTCCAGGATCGAGTTCACGGAGCTTGTTGTACCGTCCTCACTCACGGACGCCTGTCAGGACAACTCCCTCACCATCTACAACCAGGCCGAGGGCTCAGGCTCTACCCTCTGTGGCGCCTTCACTGGATACTCGAGTGAGGGAACATAGCGCTGCGGCACTCACAGATATAAGTGGCAGTTTGTCCTGGAGGAGATGCATGTTTTGACCTCTCTGTGTGTCTTTCTGACCCAGTTTTGCCAGGCAAAAGATTGCATTGGTGCTACTTCAGCTCTCTGCTCGTGCTGTAGATATGAGCGTCACTATTTGGACAATGTGACTCATTCATTTTTCTGAGCTTTGAATTTCATCGAGCATGTGCTCCCATTTTTAACCCCTAAATAACTTCTGAAAATCTAATGAAAAACCTCCATTGGTTAATACCCCTGCTTAAAACACTAGCTCGTTCAATAGTGTTCATGCAATAGTGACTATTGAAGACTATTGAACAGTATTGAATTCTATTGAAAGTGTTCAATACTCTTCAATAGCCATTTTTGAACACTAATGAACACTATTCTAGTTTTACACTATTGAACTCTATTGAAAATCATCAAAAGTGTTCAATAGTGTTCGCTGTTAAGTACATGCAATATCGATCTCATCTCATCTCATTAGTAATTCGTTTTGTATGAATTTCCAATACTCATACTGTATCAGGTTGTCCACCGTCATCACCCATACTTTCATTAGCATTTGCCACGTCACCTTCCGTGACGTCATTGTTGTACGCCTATATAAGCTCCTCAAGCATACCTTGATGCAGTCGCTGACCAACATACAGTCTCTATGCGCATCTACTTAACCCTCTACCGCCTGACATGAGTAACCGGAGCAATATTGTCACAATCCTACTTCCCAAAAAGGATACGTTTTAGTGAGCGCAAAATGACTTGCACTGATGGTTGTCGCCACGACCACTTTAAAATGTTCTCTGTTGCGTACAAACGTCTTCAGGTTGCTACACTCAATAGTTTACGTATAATTTAAGTTGAAAGTTATGTTCCCGAACAGTGACGTATGGCGGTAAAGGGTTAAGATCGATTCCTGTAGTAATACCTCACCGTGTCTAATTTTAAATAAGTACTACCTTAGAGTGTCACTCTTTCATTCCTACTTATTATTTTAAATGGATATTAAATTCGAACCGAAAACCCGTGAGACATTATACATATTTAATTCTTATCCAAATGTCACAGAAAGGACACATCTGCCACTTTCGAATTATTCAAAATTTCCAAAATGTGTTCAAATGTCTTTTATTTTTGACAAAATATGAAAAATATTGAGATTACATCATTCAGTTATTGAATAATTTCGTTAGTATCTGAATCTTGCGGTGATGTTGAATGAAATGCACTCCATTCATGAACTAAAAATATTCTTTTGGCAACTAACCAGATTATGAAAAATTGTTAACATTTACCCCTTGTTTACCCTTTACCTATTTTTCACCCTTTACTTATGGTTTATCTTTAACCATTATTTGCCTTTAACTCATTATTTTCCTTTTACCAATCGTTCACCGTTTACCTTTTTTAACCCTTTACCCATTGCTTTCTCTTCAACCATTATATAACTTTTACCACCTGCTTCCCCTTTACCAACTAGTGTCCCTATACCAATTATTTATCCATTACCCTCTGTTTACCCTCAGCGTATGTGAGGGTGCAGCCCGCGTGGTTATGGTTCACACAGCCGGTACAACTCGGCCTGCGCATCCGAACAACTCCATACAAATTCTCCGTGAAGATCACACAGCTGCCGTGCGCCGGCGTCAAGCCTTTCTCAGGTATATTCTGGTGTTCATTTTGGTGATTAAATAGATTAATGCAATTTTATGATGAAACCTGCACGATTACAACCACTGCCTCGCCGTCAGACCTTCTACACATGTCGAGAGTCGAGCCGCGGATCAACTGGCAAATCAACTTGTTATTACTATGGATATAAATACAACATTTTCACGTGGATTTACACAAACTAAGGCTAACTCTTAAGCGTAGCATTCAGAACCAACCTAGTCAAACTGTTTCCTTGTATCGTTGGGCAGATTTATTTTGACATACATGATTTCTATGTTTAGATATAGTTATACTCTAAAATTAAATTATTCTAATAACTATTCCGTAGTTGTTACAATCATTTAATTTACTTCACCTATTTCCTTTTGAAATTTCTGCAGCGTCATCGCGACAACTGCGAGGGCTTGACTTCAGCGACGACAAAGCTCGTCAGTTTGTTGATCCTCTTTTCCACCAAAGACCTGGACCGAACTTTTCACCCTCACCCGCACAGATGCTTGCATATAAACAAGCAGCAGAGCAAGCTCTGCGCATCCAACACTCATCCAGTTCGTTCCCGGCTTCAACTGCTGGACTTGAAAATGAAATAGCAAATTTAGCCCAAGATCTTGCGCTCAGTGACTTTTACAACAATCAGCAAAGTTTCGCCGCAAACGGAGTCACCAATTTTCAGTCAAATGGCCCCTTCAACGCTGCCTCTCCATACCCTACAGGGCTACTGGACTTCAATAAATTCCCTAACGGAGGTTTAGCCAACCCCCAGTATGGCCCTGGAGCAAACCAGAACAATCCACACAATTTTGGAGGTTACACACCAGAAGCCTTTAATGTACCTCTGACAAATTCACAAGGCTTAGCTCCGTTCTTAAACCATCATGGACAAACCGAGTCATTCCAGGGAACGTACACCCCAACTCCTTTCGGTACAACGCCATCATTTGCCTCCAGCACCGTTGGAGGGCTGAGCACAGTTCTTCCTACTCTCGCCAGTAGTCCTGGGAGCTACTACCAAACCAGCTCTACTGCACGTCCATTCAGTAGCATTCTCCCAAATGTATTGAATCGGCCAGGAGTTATTTTCCGACCCAGCATCTATTCTAATGGGTCCAGCCTAAGCTCAAACTTGGAAAAGCTAGCTTCTCTTGCAGCTGCCACTAACAGCATATACACAGATGGTGGAGCGATACCCGAGCATAACAACTACCTTTTGACTTTAGGAGACCTGACCGACCACTCGAATATATTCACCACATATCCCTCATCGACTATGAGCTCACCAAACTCTTTCTCTCACACCACTCCGTCGCCATTTTATCCATATTCTTCCATCGATATAATTAATGCTGATGATGCTCTTTCTTCAGTTTTGTCCTCCACAACAGCCTTTCCCTCGTATTTCACCGGGACTCCCAGACCAACAATTTCGTCTCATTCCACCGGCAACACCGGCATTAGTTTCCCGTATGGAAATAGCGGCGGAACCTTCACCACTGAGCCTGGACTTGTGTCAACGACCACTGACAGATTTGGGCTAACTCATCCAACTACAACAATCTCCGGTCTCCCGTTCTCGTCAACTACTTCTAATTTACCAGGAATCACCACAACTGTTCCCATTAATCATAAAGTGGGCTCTCATTTAGTAAATACTACTCCTGGCAACGACTACCATCTGAATCAAATATTCTCCACTCATAGGCCTACCACCATCACAAATAGGCCTTATCTCTCTCACAATCAAACTCCGTTACGAAATACCGTCATCAGAGGGTCTGGTTCAAGCGTCAACCCCAATTCGGCACAGACCATTTCCACCATTTTCCAGTCTTACCGTGAGTTTAGCGGCTTTCCTTGGATCCTTCATTGTATCATAATGAAAATTTTTCAGCAATTAATTGAATTTGTTGCTCATATCCAAGTGTTCATTGCACGTATGTGTAATTAAAACAAAGAACTCTTGCGTTTTATATTTTTATTCCACATTTTTGTTCGGTTCATTGTGTTTCATCACAATAATTCCTTGTTTCTTCAATGCCGAGTCTATGCTTCATCGCAGTAAGACAGTCTTACCATTCATATCGGCGTATCGCTAGTTTTCATGCTTTATTCCGTTTACTAATCATCTTTCACAACAATTCCGTTCTCCTCGATGTTGACTGAGTAGTTTGATCGCAGTGAGCCGTCACTCCTTGTTGGGGGGAACTTCACCAATCGCGAGTTTGTCAACGCGGCTCGCAGGAAGTGCCACGGTGTCTGACATCAACCGCTTATCTTTCATGGTAAGATGCTCATGGTCGGGATATCATCGTTGTTCATGTGTGTTGTCATGGTCCATTAAACTTGAATACCACCTTCTTCAACACCATAGGTATAAGATAATCGTGATTAGTAATGTATTTCTCTCTTTCATGGCTTCGTATCTCATGAACCGAAATTCAAATTAATCAACAGAATGTTGCAATCAGCTACATGAGTTCTGTTAACTTTCCAATGAAAGATCCTCTATTTGTTATTTTACCATTATTTTATTCTATTTTGGGAATGTGATATCGTAGAGCTTGTTAGTTCGCGGATGAGGTTTCCACTGGACATTTTGTTGTGAATATTCCCTTGATTACATGAGTAGCCTTAAAGAACGCAAAAAACGTCGATATATATCGCTTTAATACCCAAAACTAATGAGAAAACTAGTATAGAATTACATATTAGGTCATCTGCAGAAATTGATAAAGAATTACAAAATTGTCTTGAATATATTAAAAACAATGTAACTTGAAAAGAAAAACTTTTAATTTTGAACATGACCAAATGTTGATCAATGATTAATTAACAAAATTGAAAAAATTATTTGGCAAACTAAATTTTGCTGAAAATTTAGGAAAGACTGCATTCATGCACAGCGGAAATTTATTGCAGTTTCAAACTAGTCATTAAGCAACGTTCTGACTTGAAAATAGTTTCATGAATGTAATTGATATTTAATTTGTAGCTCACTTGAGTGGAAGGAAAGAAATTTCTAATATTTCAACTATATTGCTAAAATATTATTTATTTGTTCGATATCAATTCGTCTCGACATCAATTTCTTGAATTGAATTTCAACATGAAATTTCATAAACAGTTTCTCTTACCTTAGTGTGTGATGAACGTATTTTGGTCAGATCTTCCTTGTAGTATAATTGCAGTTGCAATTCATTACTTTTTAAGCAAGGAAGGGGTTGAGTAAATGCGAAGAGTTGACGTTGTTTCCATTCAGCACTCTGACTTCTGCCATGCCTCTTATTTGTTTGTATCTCTGCAGGGTCTGATTATACTCCAGGCCGACCCCAACTCTTACTATGCGTGTGGAGCGATCCTCATTAACCCCAACTACGCCTTCACTCCTGCTCGCTGTCTGCTCAGGAAAGGGTGAGTTCCATAACATATAACCGGCGCTTCAGTGTAGGCCTGATGTGGCCTGTCGCCGATTCTTTTCCTTTTCGTGCCTTGTTCACAGAAGATCTAAAATCGTGTCATTTGACCGGATCTATTCATGACTGACGATAGCTTGAAGTAGCTACTCGACTTCCACCGGGTTCGATATGGTGCTAGGCATTTCAAATCTGAACATATATTTTTCCATAGCTTTATCTATATAGTTTGTTCTTGAACGCGTCCATACTTGGAGCGCCAACGATGTCATCGGGGAGGCTGTTCCACATGTCGGTGATTCGAAGCGAGAAGAAATGTTGGCGCGTGGAGAAGTTGTAGCGCAGTTATTTTAATTTATAGCCGTGGCCCATGGTGTTGGTTCATGTTTCAAATTTTAATAATCCTTCGGGGACCTTGTATAAACCATGAGTATACTTGTATACTTCAATGAGGTCCCCACGCAGACGTTCGTTGATAACTGAGGCTTGGAAGCTTCATAATCTTTAAATCTTTCTTCGTATGACTTGCCCTTGAAGCTTGGAATTATCCTTGTTGCACGTCTTTGAACATTCTCTGTTAAATTTTTGTTCTTTTTAAATCTCGGTGACCACACAACGTTTCCAAACTCTAGATTCGGGCGCACGACAGCAACAAACAACTGCTTCATCGCATCTGCATCTAGGAACTTGTATGAGCGTCTGATTAATCCAAGAAGTTTGTTGGATGTGTTAGCTTGCGTTTCAACATGCTTAGAAAATTTCAGCTCCTTGTCGACATAAACTCTCTGTCGACATCTTTTCCCACACTAGACTTTTCAATCATTACTCTCTCGTTGCAACCATGTCTTCTCATACTGTAATTTTGCCGTTCATTGTAATCTTGTTCCCGAGGTGAAGTACTTAACTTGTGCAGCATTAAACCGCAGCTGCGCACTGATGCCCAGTCTGACACGGTTCCGTTAATGCTGACACGTTGTCGTCTGCCTTCTAGAAAATCTCTGATCCATTGGAGTACGTTTCCCTCAATTCCCAAAGACTTCACTTTACGTAACAGCCGCTCATGCGGAACACTGTCAAATGCTCTGGCAAAATCGAGGTACAATGCATCCACTGGCTCCCTTTCGTCCAGCAGGCGTGTCCAATCGTTCAATGAAGAATCGTAGATAATAAGTTAGTAGTGCAGGATCTACCGGCAATAAAATCACAATCCGACAATCTGATAGGAGATGGTGAGCAGTCAAGTGATCGATAATCCTATCCCTCACAAGTTCTACTTTTATCTGGAGAGTTCTACGGACCAGATAAAAAAATACTCAGAAAAGAAGAGTTCCAGCGCTCAGGTACCGAAGCCTCGGGGAGAAGATAGTCGCATATCGTCTGTTCCTGAAAACTTGGAGTTCCAGAGAACAGAAATAGAAAGCTGGGGAAGAGGCGAGTCAGCTGCTCCAGGAACTGAAGCCACTCAGACAGGCTTTCTTCTACTTAATCAAATATGGAAAATTTTGAACGATATTTTTGTTTTTTTTTATAGATGAGAAATCGCCTTGCTAACGGAGAAGGATTATTATCTCATTGAATGAAATAACTCGTTGTGTAAGAGAACCCGTTTTCTTACACGTTGTGTAAGAAAACGTTGTGCGTTAGTGTAAGTTTCACGTGGCTTTGGATTAAAATGTTTGTGTAAAGCCGTTCACAGAACTTCATGGAAACATGCCTGCATTAAACTATACACAAGTTTATGAGTAGTTTTTTATAAAAATCTTATACATGTTTGTACAATGAGAATACAATTTTGTTAAAAATTCTTCAAAAAATTACACATACTGCAAGATCTTTTTCTCCTTCTCAGGCTGTCCACCCGCTACACCATTCGTGTGCTTTTCGGAGCCGACCGAGCCATTTTGCAAACCTCTACTCTGGCGCAGGTAATTCTAATTCTTTTCCATGGTTTTTGATAATCGCGACAAAAAATGTCAACTTTTCCAGCGAATGAGACTCGTATAGAATTTTTGGCTGTATGAGTCGGACTTGCAATTAGAATAACAATACCGCCACAATGCATGGAAAATGTCAGAAAAAAATACATCTTCTAAAAAAGGATTTTACAAACGCATAATGGAATGAGTAAGCACAGAGAATGGGATGTGTGAGCGAGCGCAGGTAATGGGACGAGTGAATACCAATACCAAGGTAATGGAATGAATATTTGTTTGCATAGTGAATGAATTACTTTCTATTCTCGCAGGTCTTTGCTAACCCAATCAGCCGAGCGGTGAGTAAAGTCATCTTCCACCCCATGGTGGACCACACAACTCTACGGTACGATCTCGCCGTACTCCGCATCGCCAAGCCCTACACTGACGTCACTGCGGTTACCCTGCCAGCACGCGGTGGTTCGTAATGCTTGTTTACAACACTTCTCTTTAACTTCACTTCTTGTTGTCTATCTGCTACAAATTTTATATTCGATATTTAACACAGTTATACCTGTCCAATCGATCAGAAATTTTGCACACTTGCGTAAAGTTGGTGACAATGCATGAATCAATTGACAGAATAAATGATTTTAAAAATATATATATATTGAAGACATTTTTAAATACTTTTTCTTTATTATTCAAAAATAAAGTAAGAAATTCATTGTAGATATGTAACATCGAAGACACTGGCCTCTTTAGAAGTGTTGTCTTTAAAAAGTAATTTATAAACGCAGATTATGTTTACTTTTGTTTGGTTTGTGCTTGTCCTTTTCTCCTCAATTGAGATAATACAGCTAATATTTCTGAAAGCTTTCATTGAACTCATCTGTACCATTATTAAAGCAAGCTTTTTTTTATCTCTGAATTACGATAATGACGGGCGTGGAGGCTCATAGCATCTGACCAATATGACCGTCTTGTACTTCAAACTCGATCCGGGAGTTCCGTTTTTCTCAGCTGCTATTTCTTCGCTCTCATACCAGCGAATTTCTTTGAAAAAAAAAATGTCGGCCGAAAATAATAAGCTAAAATTCATCTGAAATTTCTCAGACATTATAGATTTATTAAACTCGCATTTATTTTATTTTTCGTTGTCATGACTGTGTGGGGGTTATCTTTTACCACTCCACATTAAATTATTTAACTCCTATCAGAGAATTAACCGGCCTAGCTAGTTAACCTAAATTGTTCACCAAAGCGCGGACAGAAACATAAAGATTGGCAGGACGAATTTGGTTGGGAGTAATGAACACACAAAAATTGTTAGGTTATTTATTAGCTCAGCTCACGTGACCTGCTCGTTTTGATGCAGGAGGTTGATGCGCGTCAACGGGCCTCCGTTGTTGGGTTGTAGCGTCGATGTACACGTGTTTGAGTGGCGAGACGTTGGCGAGCTTATTCGATGCACATGGGGTGAAAATTCACTGACTATCCGAATGAGAGTAAAATTGAGTATATCACACTTCACAGCAAAGTTCACTGAATATTCACGGATGAGCGTTGGTATACTGAGTTGTCAATTGAGTATTTCACACTTCACAGCAAAGTTCACTGAATATTCACGGATGAGCGTCGGTAGGTTGAGTTGGCTTGGGGCGCGGCAAGATCCAAGATGGCGGCGTGCGCGTCGGCAAGATCCAAGATGGCGGCGTGCGAGTTGGCGGGAAAGGCGGCTTGAGACGCCGATAGAGGTGATGGCCGAGACAGTTGAAGTTGCTGACAGCGATGGCCTTAGATTCGGGAGATTGCGCGTGATCTTGATTTTATGCGTTGCAGGAACAGATCATGTGGAGCTGCGAAAAATAAGGCCTTTGTTAATACGCTATTCACATTTTACGACATCATCTCACAAATGAGCTAAAGCCACGTGAGCTATTTATGGCATGAAAACACGCTAATTTTAATACATTAATTTAATTCATCAACCTGCAATGCCTCTGACTTCTGAACTAACTTTACTCTTATACTTAACACATTGAATGAGAGCTATTCTACAGCAGAATAATTTCTAAGTTACGGAGCTTACATGGGAGATGTTGACGACTCAAAGTCAGGAGGCAAATAGAACGAGAGACTATAAAAGGACCAGTGACTAAGGGGCTGGAGATGTTGCCATCGACTGAGCTGCTTTCTCCGAAACTCTCGTGATGATGTTATGATTATTTAATATGATTTAAAATGTACGACTTTAATGTGTATTGTAAGTGTTAATATTAATGTTAGTATAAGAAACATAAAAATTAGTTATATTATGTTAGTATGAAAAATATAAGAATTAGTGATATGTTATGCATAATATTAGTGCTATGTAGCGAGATCCGCTACAACTGCATGATAATTTAAATTAAATTGCATTAAATTGGTTCAGTGGTTAAGGTGCAGAGTAATAAGTTTCGGGCAGTGATTTGTGGGTACTATCCCAGCTACCTGTGACAGTTTTGGGGAAAATTGGCGAGGTGGCATGGCGGTTAAGAACAGCATAGCCGGAGCAGTGAGTTGTGTATTCGAGACCTGCAACAAGCTGTGAACATTGAGTAAATACCGCGACCGGTATAAAGGCCTAGTCAACGCTGACTCCGCGTTTAGTGTTATTACATGCAAAAAAAAAAAAACAAAAATTTACTTATAATTCGTCGCATAGTCAAGATATTTTCAACTAGCTTTTTTCTATCTTTTCAACAGCATCGTTTGACGGGACGAATGGTTTACTCATTGGGTGGGGGATCGGTACTGTGCCATTGGGTGCAGCCGGACCGGGGGTGCAGCCTTACACTCAGCTCAACAGTCTCAGCGTAACGATCAAGAGTAACGCTGACTGCAGTAAATCCTGGAGCAGCATCACCAACCCTTACGATCTCACGGTAAGCCTTCATCGAGTCGATGTTTTGTATGTGTTTCAGGCGTAGCAGTCCCAGGCCACGCTGGGACGCTGCCTTTGTATAGGAGCGCAGCCGTACACCACCAATTTTGTGCACCAAAAGCCCTGAATCGAACGCCTTGGATCTTTCCGGACATCCACCAATCAGCCGTGAACCACTCGGCTTTATCCTCCTCCGGCCTTGCATAGAACCTGCCGTTCACCACCAGGCCGCGGATCGAAAATGACCTCCGGGCATCGTTAAATTACGTAATTTTACTTTCATAGCATCTGAGGTTAGGTTTCAGATAGCATAGTTGTGTTCCAAAATTTATCATCCTCCGACGAGTGACCGTTCGACCGAGGGATGGTTCGACCCACGGCCTAGATACGGACGGCTTGAAGTGTTGAAGGCTACGTTCCGGAAGGCAGGAATCATGATGGTCCATTACATCCAGGGCAGTGGTGGTCTTTGGCAGGCGACCCCTTTGTAATCCCCGCCCTAAGCCCCCGTAGCCAAGTCATCGTCGCCAAGTAAAATCACGGACTATAACTAAATTACTATATTAGAAAAATAGTATTTATTGTACTGCAGTTCATTTTTCGCTAAAGGGAGCTGTAATTTCCTCAACAGGGAACCAAGTCCGTAATCTACGACGAGATGATCTGCACGCTCGCTAATTCCCCGAGTCAAGGCTTCTGCCGCGTAAGTTTATCTGTAGTGACTAGTGATTCACGAGATTATTAGGATAGAACTGTACTTTTGTTAAATATTTAGTAAAGTCTGAACTAATCTACAAATAATTGAATCTTCCTTACAGAGATAATCTTGTGCAGGTTAAGGATAATAAGTTAAGGACGCACAATCACACTTGTCGTTGGTGATGAATTCTTTGATAAGGTATCAGAATAATCGGACAATTGCTAGTCATCGGAATGTTAGCATTGTTAGCCCCGGATATCATGGAACTTTACGATAGGTAATGACACGCGAAAGCGCTACGAGACCTTAAATTGCGTTACGAGACATAGCGAGATATTGCATTATGATGACACAAAATAAATATGCATTATGATGAGACAAAATGAGACTATCCGAACGCGCAGACAGAGGATTGAAAAGTTTAACTTTTGATTAATAATGAGCTGTTTTGTGGCATTTGGCTGCATGCAAAACTTTGCACTGTTTTTCATAGTTGAACAGTACTGACTTTTTAAAACTTAAATAATAAACTTCGATTATTCGGCAAATTGTCACTTTATCGTCCCAGATTTCCAGTCAGAGCTGAAAATTTTCGCGAGTTTTATCGCTAATCGAGAGAAAGCTAATCGAAGACATTTACTAGCTTCTAATTATCTGAACAACTTGACAATTCTCTTGACAACCGATGACCCACATCACCCGACCATTATCTAACACCCCCCTGCAGGGAGACGAGGGAGGAGCCGTGCTAGTGCCCAGTGCAGGGGGCGGCTACATCCTGGCTGGGGTGCTGTCGGGGGCACACAACGACTGTGTGCTGCAGCAGAAGGACGGCATCCCAGATATCGCCACGCGGGTAACATCTTTCCTGGACTGGCTGGACGCCGTCACCACGGAATACATGTACACCTGTGGGGTCAACTTCTACTCCTTCACGTACAAGCAGTGTGCCTTGTGAGAGGCTGAGTGCTTTGTGAGGAAGAGGAGGGCTCTTTGAGTGTGAATGCGCGCACTGAGTGAGGATATTGTTCTTTTGAGGGAGAGAGTGCGTTGTAAGGAAGAGCAGAACAATTAATGAGGAGAGAGGAGGACCTCTTGGTGAGGAGATAAAGCAATATCTGTGAGAAAGGGTGCACTTTCAGAGGAATAAAAAGTACGCCTCGAGTAGGGGAGAGAAAGTGCCGTGGGTAGAGGGAGAATAATGTCAACTTTATAACGGAGCAGTAAGTCGACGACAACTCATGTTCACATATTAATAGGATTGTTTCTTGCCCGTTAAGGAAAGTGACACATGTTGTTACTATACACGTTTTATTTCTTGACGTTACATTTCGTTGAAGCGCGGGTAACAAGCTCAGCCGCCACCAGCGCCGCCTCATGAGAGTCCCATGGCGACTAGGTCCGGGATACGTCCCTCATTCTGCATTATAAAAGTTTATGTTAATCTTTATTTATCGTAATTTATTCTGATAGCTGTCATATGGATATTTAATCATGATAACGATTTCCGCTCGATGAAATAATTCTTCCATTGTATAAGGTATCAATGATACGTTAATAAACAAACTTGCGGATCCACTGTTATCCTGATGATTAACTTAAAGTAGAATATATTGACTATTTCATTATAACTTGAATGTCCCATGATAAAATTATTGTAAAGTATCTCAATATCAAATTATGTCCTCCATATTTAAGGTGACAACCGTTGGGTCTATATTATTTACAATTCCATTATTGCTTAGTTTGTCCCTATATTCCAATGAATCCATAAGACACCTTTTTTGCAAATAATTTAAAACCTTCAAAATCACTTACGATTTTGCCAGTAAAGTTCTGTTGTTTCTTCTTTTTTATCTCCTAAATTTTCTCTTGCATTTATACTGCTATTACTTTACAATCTGAACTGATGTGACCAATAAATTTCAAGTTTAAAGCTAAAAATGTGTACTAAGTTCTTGCATAGGCTACAGACGTTAGTCCCATTAGCTTAATCGCTGACACAATCATTAAAACATTGTACCTACAATATTACTGATTAATGCATCGCCCTAATTTATTCTTGCACAATTGAACTTTTTATTTATTAAATAAACATTAAGTCAATCACCTTTGGTGCTGCTCATTTGACACATTCAAGGTACTAAACCTACGTATTTCTTAAATACAACTCGTGCAACGGTACATATATGCCACACTTTGTTCAACGTGACGCGGTATTTACTGACTCTAATTCATATTTTAAGTGAATATCTACCATATACTCAACCTGACATGTTGCGATTGACTCTACTAAATTTACTCACCAATTTTCTGGCTCGCTTCTCCAGAATGCTGTAGGAGAAATGGTTCATCTGCACGGAAAGGATAAACGTAATCAAAACAAAGGTGCCGCTAACCTCCCAAAAACAGCCTGAGGCATGGTTATATCCTTAAATAAATAATAGGTCATTTATTAATCACGATATGTTAAATTATAGTCATAATAAAAGCTTTTTATAGCCGTAAACTTTTATACATTATAAATGATGCTTATAATCCTACATGTGGAATGTAGATCGAAACAAAGGCTAATTATAGCCCTAATCTATTAGTCATTCATAAGGCTGATAATAAGCCGATTTAATATGCCATTTACAAGGCTGGCTGAAGCTTAATTATACGTTATCTGAAGGCTGATGATAAACCAAAACAGTAAGTTATCTGAAGCCGGGTGAAATATTAAAAGTCATTTAGGAGCTGGTGTTAAACCAAAACAGTAATTTATCTAAAATCTGATGAATACCCTAAATTATCAGCAACTTGAAGGCTGCCTATAACCCAAATCTATATGTAATCTAGAGGATATGAAAGCGTTCAAGATGATCGTCAAGGTCACCAGAATAGAGTGTGGCAGTGCGACGCCCTGCACTCGATGCAAGCGTCGCGATGACGCAGAGGGCAGCGGGTGCACCGCGGTGATGGTAACGCGCCCAAGCTGCGCTGTGTTGGCCATCAGAGGCCCGCAGCTCATGTCCAGGAACCGCCCCACGCGGTACACCGTCACCTCGTCACCTGCGCTACCATCAATTTTGCCTGAAATTCACTTATGCATTAACAATTGTATTGTAAAATTCACCTGTACTCATGGATTATGTCAATGAATTCATCTATAACAGATGAATAATATGATGAAATGAAACTATTATATCTATAGATAGTAGCATACAGCGTTACATCGGCAGATTATATCGTTAGATGCACTTAAATTCACGGATTGAACCATAGAGCCTTAATTGCCGGGATTAAAATCACAAATGCATCAATATGGATGAATTCAATCATCCAGACTTCAGACAGCGTAATTGGCTTCGTATTATTGTTAGATGATGATATATTAATTTAGGTTGTTTATTAAAAATCACCCGTTCAGTCATTGACTTGGATTTATTAGAATATGGAACAATAACCGTTGAGCGTACCACTGAGACGACGTCATAGTAATGTTCATTATACCCGTCTTATCTTTTCAGACATGAAATAGATGTGTCACTTTCACCGACAGACGCTCGAACGGCAACTTCTGCATGCTCAGTCGCACCATCTGTGCAGACAGCATTCGCAGCTCCTCCTGTGTACAAATATCTGACAAGTACTACCTACCACGCATTGCGTAATACATAATAAAGTTGAGTAATAATACATGCTACATTCAGTGTATCATCATGTTAGGCTACCGGTACCTACCATATAATTATAAAAATAATTGCTATGAAGCCTGTACAAATCATGTGAAGGACACATCAAATGTTCTGTTACAAATTACTTGCCAAGATAACTAGCCCATTCAAAGTTCATGAAAATCTCATAGACCTTTCTGCAGGAGAACACGGATGTAGTCCAACTCACTTCTGATGAGGTGTCTGTAACACAGACTTCATGGGCAAAATCTTACCTTCGTTGGTGTCCAGTCAATGCCAAGATCAACATCATAAACAAAGCTGCCAGTCCTCACTGTAAAATAAGAAATTATATTAGTTTATATTTAATAAATTTTATGCACCAATCTGTAATATACAAAATATGAGCTCATGATGAGCCAGTTTAAGACATGTTATACAAATAGCTGTGCCTTCTCCGAGCATAACTTACCCATAAGGATCAGATCAACTTGCCCCAATGAAACTGTATGCATATACGTATACAGCAAAAAAATCTAAACTTGTCAAAAAGTAATTAAACTGCCAATGAAATACAATATGTGCATTATTGCAGCAAAAAAAATCTCATTTAGATATAGGTACTTATTAAAAATTTGAGAACAGAAAAATACACTCAAGGTCATCTACAAACTTTGTCAACTGCTATGTGTGGCAGAGAAATGTCAAAACGTGTGATAAATTCTAAATTGTTTCAAGGTAATAACGAAATGAAAAACAGGCTCATTATTGAGAGTTAAATTCACTGACTAGTATTGCATGCAGTAGTGTGGAATAAGAATTGCTTTGCTTATTTGTATAGGTACTGAATATTGCTTATTCATTCCATCAGTACAAATACATGTAAAGGCAATAAAACAATTAACAAAAAAGATGTAGGTTTTTGAAGTGAAACATGTAGACCACACATACCATTTGGAGCAGGGAAGGAGCAAAGCTGGACATAGAACTTTGACTTGAATGAGTTCTCAAGGACCGATCCAAGCATCAGGGAGCACGACCGCCAGAATGCTCGGTTGGCATAAAATGGATCTGCCTGCAATTAAATTAAAATATTTGAAAATCTAGGAAAAAACCTAGAAAATCAACCAACAACCTACAACCAATAAAATAAATGTAATTCATCATTAATAAAAAAGAAGGGAGTTAGTTAGTTAGTTTAGTGGCCATATGTTTACTAGCGCTTCAGCTATTAAGCTAAAAGCTAAAAAATCATGAAAGGAAGCATTAATGCAACATTCACGCCAAGATTCATTAACTTGCTCAAGTTTTCAGTCCTAACCTGGAATTTTAAAAGGAAATTTTTGAATCATTTTACTCAATGATGATAGAAGGTAAATGACTTCAGCCAGCACAGCTCTGTCACCCACAAGCTGACTCACATCTGGACACAATAAACAATGTTATGATTGTTTTCATTTTTCACATATCTTGTATACTTATGATTTCAGGTGTAACATCTTGAGGGTATCTTCCTGTTGAATAATCTCAACTTTTACTTAAATTTGAGTGATGAAGGCTGATTTAAATTAGAGTGATCTAGAACATTGAAAAACACAACAAAAAATTAGAGAATAGAACTATAGCTAATGTGATTAATATGACATTAAAATAGCCTGCTACTAATTATTTGCATTTCCAAGGATGGTGACTTTTAACGGGCAAGTTAACATATGTGATTCCTTGAAATCAGCCTCACAAAAAGCCCTACCATGGCTTCCTGTTTGTTTTTTAGGCTTCCTTATGATGCCTCAGTCAACACTAATTATCTGACTATGATTCCATCCATAGACCCACCATGTCCACAAATTAAAACATAAGCATTTAAATGAAGGTTTTGCCTCAGACAATGGAATTGACACGCTTTCAGCATTTTTTCAAATGGTGGAATTATCAATATATATTTAAATATTTCAGGTAACTTGATCAAATTTAATTAAATTAAATTATTATTTTACTAATTTTTTATTTGCATAACTTAAATTTTAATTGTAAAGAAAAATTTTGTGTACTGACCACATTTAATGAATTCTTCAAGTGCCATTTTAAACCTTCAATGGGCAAAATTTTTAAAAATACATACGAATATATATTTTGTATAATACTTCTTACTTTCTTGAAATGGTTTCTGAAATTTTAATTTCTGGATATTTCAATACTTCCCCGCTGAAGGGTTAAACACACTTATCTATTCAGACAAATAGTCAACACTATTATTCACTCAATAACTTACGTCTTGCACAGTCATATGGTGTGGATAGCTTTTTGTTCATTATGAGAGTACAATGTTCTGGATGATCTCTGTATTGTACTGTAATTTTATGAACATCAGTAATTAGACGACGTTGCCTTTCTTTCTCTTTTTCAAACAGTTTCAGCCTGTGTTCTGTCACTGCAGAATTTAAATAGCTTGACATAGGAGATGAATTTGTAGTTGGACTGTGAAAGTTGAAACATACACTTGCAGTGCTGAAACCTTTGGTTGTGTTGAGACCTAGGAAAAAATATAATGAAAAAATTTAATCATTAATATTATTGGGTAACTCATTAGGTATATAAGTATCTCAGCTAATGCTAGTTTAAGCCTTTAAACCCTGCTAGCAGGTTATGGCACAAGAGAAGTAGGAAAATATTTTGGGGCAAAATTCAAGTCCATTATTGCTCTTGAAAAGATTGTATAAAAGAAGTAATATAAAAATCTGTGTGTACTATGAGCTCAGACACAGAAATTTTTGTCCAAAAAATATGCATATAACAAAGACAAAATTATATCATGAACCAAATATAATTAAAAATTGATCAAATTTAGAAGAAACATTGAAAAACTCAAAAACCAAAAGCATGTTGTGCACTGAAATTAACCATTGCCCGCTAAAAAAAATATAGCCTACAAACACAACAAGTCAATCAAAAAACTTTTATTACCAAAATCCAATTTAACCTAGGTAAAAAATCATTATATTGAGTAATGATTTGGTGCTAGATTAAAGAAAAAAAATTATTTGGATATGCATATGCATTAAAAAAATTTTAGGCTAGAAACTTTTCTAGTAATTTCAAAAAATTGTATTTGTTGAATTTTGTTCATTAACAAGAACATTTTAGCATTTTTAGGTGCCAAGAGATAGGAACCTGTTTTGGGAGGGCGAAGTAGGAATAAACTGCAGGACATCAAATCCAGATGTATTACCAATTTTGAATATCAGGCAGAAATTTCCAATAATTGTGTATAAAAATAAATGTATTACAGTAGATTTTGTAAAATTGCAGTTAAAAAAACCACTTTTCTTATTTTCTACTGAAGGATTTGGGAAAAGGCACAGAAATAGGTGAAACTGGCCAGATTAACGGATATTTTGGTCTACTTCATGGGTGGCTTCTGCATAATTTTCCAGTTAGGTGTTGTAATGACAGATTTGTCAAAACTCAGAAGCACAATATTTTTCATACATTTTGAACCAAAAATAAGACTTGTGCTTGAAAGTTTGCAAACAAAAAATTTCAAATGCAAAAAATAAAACGTTCCATTCTTTGAAAACCAAATGTTTAAGAAATAGAGATATTTTAAAAAATAAAAATTGATCATTCTAATCTGTCAAAAAGTCATAGAAAGCATATAAATTAATTCATAATCATGGATGTTTTTTGTATCATTCTCAAGTGGCATATTTGGTTTTCCTAATTCTCCAGTTTGATGTACACAATTTTGACAAGTAAACTTGTCCATGAGACAGAAAAGATGAGTTATAGTTTAAACTTGTTTCAAAGTGATTTATATCCAATTTTTCTATCTAAACATGATTTTTTGGTAAGCTAAAAATTTTCTGAAGTGACGCTTCAGTAGCAAAATTTACACCTTCAGAAGATCTTGCCAACACATTTAGATTGTAATTCTTGCATTTAATATATTTGTCAGTCTTTGGCCAACTATTTAGGAAAAAAAGTAAGGTTTCCTGTATGCAGGATGGATCAGGATGCAGTAAAGCTTGTCCGGAAATTGGTTGCGATGAGTTCCCGCCAAAAAAATGTAAACAAAATGTAGTTGTGGTCACATTAGAGCAATCAGACTGCATCATCACACATAATCAGTTGACACTTGCTGTACAATCAGGCTGTTTTTAGGGTAAAATTACTTGTTTGGGGTAGGGTAAACGCGGTATATTCCGACACATTAAGGACGCATTGAGAAATGAAAAACTATAAAAAAATAACCGTATGCGTTACTCGAGTTCTGTTTGCTTTACGTGACTCTCAAAACACTGCACGACGCGCCAGCAACAATGAAACGTCACAAAATGTTGCCATATTTATTCAACCATCAACGAACGCATGGAACTAAAACAAAGCTTAATATAAAGGAAAAACTAGAGAGGTGTCGGAATTACCCACGATGTCGGAATATACCGCCGCTTACCACGTTTACCCTAACACGTGCATCATGCATGCAACCTTGTAAATAAGTTCGTGGCTTGTAAATAGTTTTTCATTACTCAGCGTAAATGGCTTTTCATTGAAAATTACCCCAGTGTGGAATTCTGTATAGGTAATATATTCTAATGTCAATATAAGAAAACGTATCAAAATACCAACCCTACCACCGCGTTACACCACCTTCCACTGCAATGAAAATTGACGAACTGAGCTCATTTGA